GACCAGTCCACTAGTCGGCTGCCAAGAGGGCGCTGTGGTATCTGGCGAGTACATCAGGACTAGGGCTTGTACTAGGAGGATGGGAGCCAGTGGTGCTCACTGGACGCACAGACGCATTGTGGGCTGATGAATTGAAGTTGCTTAGATCCTCGCAGGGCTACTGTTTTAGCCTTGGTTCAGGTGCAGTCTTGTGGAGGTCCACTAGGTCATCTTCTCTAGCTAAGTCCAGTTGTGAGGCAGAGATCTACACTTGGGCCATGGCCGCTAAGGAGCTCCGCTAGCTGACATTCCTGCTTACCGACTTAGGTGAGCAACGTAGGTCTGTCCTGGTCCTGTTTGCTGACAACAGGGCCATGATCCTCCTATGTCAGGAGGCTCTACTAGAGAAGGCGAAGCACATCCAGTTGCGGTACTTCCTCGTGCTGCGTGAGTTGCAGGAGCGTGGCAAGGCTCGTGTAGTACAATTGGCCTTAGAGGCCAACACCATAGATATCTTGTAAGATTAGAGTACAATTGGCCTTAGAGGCCACGCTAACGCCTCGTGACCATGAATGGTTTTGTACTCAGCTAAGTCTCGTTTTAGTAGCCGCTCCCCTCCTTGTATCCTGATCTATACTGTATTGCCTATACTTGCTTTTCTATACTTGATTGCCTTGTTGCACTTGCTGACTGGCCTTGTGGCCCTTGTCTTCAAAATCTGACTAGTAGTGCTGCATTGAGTTGTTCAGTTACATCCACAAGAGGCCAGACTAGTAGTGCTGCCTTGGTCTACTCTGCCTTGTTATGGACTGCCTCTATGTAGGCTAAGGAGTGTGTCAACAAATATACAACTGGACTGAGCTCCAGATGATGACCTAGCGACCTGAGCGTCTCCAAGTCGTCATCCCACAATACGTCTATGTGTCGAGAGAGCACTACCGGCTCCCCATTCTCCTACTACAAGCCCCAGTCCTGATGTACTCACCAGATACCACAGTAACCTCTTGGAAGCTGACTTGCGGACTGGTCGGTGCCTGCCGGTTGCGACAAAGCGAGCAAAGATACTGAGAGGGTACGCTAGATCTGGTCGAGTGCAAGTCATCAGGTACATGAGGTACCCCACCAGCTTTGCATATGGACCACTAGGCTTAGGTAGCTCAGCCGGAACAGGAGCAAAGAGCTTGTGATCCATAGGCAGAGGGGTTGGCTGTACTGAGGAGAACAAGAGACTGAACCTCTAAAGGATCTGCTGCATGATATGGGACTGGGAGAGTGTGATCGTGCAACAGGAATGGTCACGAGAGATCTTCAAGCCCAGAGAGCCCCTCAGCACCCCCAGGTCAGTACAGGTATGCCTCCTAAGTAACTTGGCCTTCAGTAAGGCTTGTACGTCTCTATCAGGAGTAGCAAAGATGTGATCGTCTACATACACTAGGATGTAGAGCGGGATATGACCAGTGTGGACAAAGAGCGATGGGTCAGCAGAAGGCGGGAAGAACTTAGAGAAGCAAGAGTGGTGTGGAGCATGTTATGCCACTAACGAGGCACGTGATGCAGGCCGTAGACAGGGCGGCGCAGGCTCCACTGGTTCCTAGATGGGAAGGACCCAGAGAAGCCTAGTGGGCGCCGGTGGTAGATCTGCTCATGTAGACTACCTTGCAAGAAGGTTGTGGAGAAGTCAAATGAGTGACGCTCGTAGTTACGCTGCACGGCTAGGTGAAGGAGCAACTGAAGAGTAGTCATCTTTGGCGTAGGAGAGGAGGTCTGGAAGAAGTCCACACCCTCTCGCTGACTGAAGCCTCTAGCCACATAACGCCCCTTGAACTTCGGCGGCTCTCCATGTGCACGCTTCACACTATAGATCTACATGCCATCAACTACGTTCACCCCAGGTGAAGGGAACTGCGTCGATGTAAGTGCCTGTGGATTTGTACGATGCCATCTCAGCCTCTATGGCATGTATCCATTGGGCTGCCTAGGTACTCGACACCGCCTCAGCGCGCGGGATAGGGATGTCGAGGGCGTCTGGGTCGCCCTCTATGGATACAAGCATGGAGCAGAGATGGGGTACAACGGCAGCAAGGTAGGACAGCTCGTACTGCCTGTCTTCTAACACGATATGCGAAGGGCAGGTGCACCCCCAACGGACGGAAGACGGGCAGTACTAGGTACTAGTGCGACAACGTAGTCAAGGCGGTGGCTAGCAGCGAAGTCAGCGACAGCAATGACAAGTGCAGAGATAGAGTGAAGAGGATCAGTAGGTTCAGTGACAAGCAATACAAGCAAGTGCGAGAGGACTGGACGAGCAGTGCGAGCATAGTCAATGGGAGGAGCAAAGGATGATAGGATCGATGACTAGGGAGGTAACAAAAGGACGGGGACCGGAGGAGCACGAGAACGAAGGACCATAGGGTGGACACCAGGACGGTGAGAGATTGGACAACCACAAGGAGAAACGACGGACCTTGTGGGGAAGACCGGGGGACTGGGGATGAGGGCGAAAGGAGGAGAAGGCAGAGGACAGAGAAGAGCACGGGGGAAAATGAGCTGGAAAGGAGTCCGGGGGAGGGTACAGTGGGCTGTAAGCATGGTCAGGCACATGAGGAGGGATGGGTGGTTGGTCAAGGGAACATAAGGAAAGACCAAGGAGACAAAGGGCAGACAGCGGCTGTGGCTGCTGCTGCTGCTGCAGCTGCTCCCTGTCCTATCCAGGACCTCCAACTCCTCCTCAGCTACCACCACCGCTCTACAAAACAGCACCCCCAGGGCTAGCACCCCCTACAACTCTTGCGGGTCTCTGGAAAACGAGGCTCAAGGGCCTTGGTGAAGATATCAGCAGTGTTGGCCTCTGAGGCCAATTGGCCACACTGCTGCAACTCACGCTGCAGGAAGTACCGCACCTGGATGTGCTTGGCCTTCCCCTCAAGTCGAGCCTCCTGACACTGGAAGATCATGGCCCTATAATCAGCAAACAGGACTGGGGCAGACCTAGGCCGCTCACGCAAGTTAGTGAGCAGGAACGCAGTGGAGTTCTTGAGCGGCCATAGCCCCAACATAGATCTATGTCTCACAACTGGACAGAGCTACAGATGACGACCTAGTGGACTGCCACGAGACTGCACCCGCAGCAAGACTAAAGCAGTAGCCCTGTGAAGACCTGTGTGTTTCCAATTCGTCAGCCCACGATGCGTCTGTGTGTCTAGTGATGGCCACTAGCTGCCGTCCTCCCAGCACAAGCCCCAGTCCTGATATACGCCAGATACCTCCACACCCTCTTTGCAATCAACCAATGCTCTGGTCGGTGTCCAGTCGCAACAAAACGAGAAAGGATCTGCTAGATCTGAATGGGTGCATGCCATCTGGTATATGAGACACCCCACTAGCTCTCTGTATGGACCACTAATCCCGACTTGCTCACCGCAAATAGGAGCTAAGAGCTTGTGGTTCACAGGCAACGGAGTGGGCTTTGCAGACGAAAATTAAAGGCCAAACCTCTGGAGGATCTCCTGCACCATGTGGGACTAAGAGAGTGTGATCGTGCGCCCGACAAGGTCATGAGAGATCTCCAAGCCCAGATAGCGCTGCATCTCTCCTAGGTCTTTACATGCGTGTTTCCTAAGCAGCTCGGCCTTCACTAAGGCCAGTGCGACTCTGTTTGGAGTAACAAAGATAAGGTCGCCTACGTACACAAGTATGTAGAACGGAGTTTGACCAACACGAACAAAGAGGGAGGGTTCTGCTGAGGACGTAGACCGTAGACAGGGTGGCGCAGGCTCCACTGGGTCCCAGGAGTGAAGGACCAGGTGAAGCCTGATGGGCGCCGCAGGTAAATCAGCTCGTGTAGGCTGCCCCGCAAGAAGGATGTCGAGAAGTTTAGGGAGTGGGGCCCGTAGTCATGCTGTGCAACTACGTGGAGGAGCAGGCGAAGAGAAGTCATCTTCGGCTTCGAAAGAATTCCACACCCTCTCACTGGCTGAAGCCTCGGGCCACATACCGTGCCTTGAACTGCAGCAGCTGTTCAGGCAAGCACTTTACCTTACAGATCCACATGCCATCGACTATGTTTGCCCCATGTGGAGGAACTGCGTCGACGTAAGTGCTAGTGAATCTGTAAGATGCCATCTTGCTTCCATGGCCTGTATCCATTAGGCTGCCCAGGCATCCGAAACCGCCTCAAAGCAGGGATGTCCAGGGTGTCTGGGTCACCTTCAGGGGATGCAAGCATCATGCAGAGATGAGGTACAGCAGCCACAAGGAGAGCTAGCTCATACTTCCTATCCTCTATAACATCACTGCCAAGGGCAGGTGTGCCGCTGACGGACGAAGGACATGAAGGGCCAGAGACTAGAGCGGAGGCGTAGTCAAGGCGGTGGCTCATGGCAAATTCAGCAACAGCAGCTATTGTTAGGATCAAGGACGGAGTCTAGGTGAACTTAGGAGCTAGAATTACTCAAAATATAAATCCGAAATTCTGGAGAGAAAAGTCGTCTTCACAAGAAACGACGTCGACAAAAACCTAGCTGTTGGAATATCGCGAAACTTTGATATGATGTAGCTTGTAATCTTAGCTACCGTTCTCAATTTAAATCACGTCGATTGATGGAGTATTCGCGACGCTATGTCTTTCGACGCACTGGGGGGTAAGCTGTAGGAGGAGAACTTAACTCAATCTCAAAAGTTCAATCAAAGTTCAAGAATCTCACAAGGAATCAGAGGAGCAAGAGAAAGGTTGGGATAGAAGAGAGGGATGAGAGGGAATGTCCTAAGAGAGTCCCCAACCAAGGAAACCCCATGATCACAAAGATTCCCCCCCTATAGGAACCCCAACTTTGACATTTGTCCCTTCCCAACCAATCCATCCAAGTTGGCCACCCTTGCCAACCTAGCTTGGTTGTTCCCAACCAATTTGCAGCTGTTACAGTATAGCTTTCGCGTACTTGCTCCGATTGAAGGGATTCTCGTTGCGTCAGAAAGATCTTCTCAAGATCTATCGTCACAAAATACCTGCTCAAACAAAATAACACAAAACACATTCCCAAACTCCAGAACACACCACACACAAATTCTTGCACACGTTCAAACCACACATGCAAGTTGAAAACATGGGATGGGAGGCAGACAGAATGTGATAGCATATGATGACATCACACAACAATCTCCCCCTCTGGCTGCCAACCATCATCCATCATGCCAACATCTCAAGCATGCATACTCAATGCACACTCATCCCAGCAAGCTTCATGCTCTTCCAATGATCCGCCTCCGCAAGACGCTTAGTGAAAATATATGCTACTTGCTGATGGGTTTTCACTATCTCCAGCCGCACCTCCTTATCAAGGAGTCTCCTCACCCAATGCCACTTAGGCCTTATGTGTTTTGTCAGCCCATGCAGACAAGCATTCTTGGCGAGCTTCACAGCAGACTCATTGTCACAAAACAAAACTGTCGGCTCCTCCTGACCAACTCCCAACTCCTCCAACAAACGCCTCAGCCACACCACTTCGTTGACCCCATGGTGTAAGGCCATGTACTGAGTCTCACATGAGGACAATCCCACCTCATTCTGCTTCTTGCTGCGCCAGCTCACAGCAGCACCTTCCAGCAAGCACACATAGCCCCCAATGCTGGTGCCATCCGCTTTCACTGAGTTGAAGCTAGCGCCAGTATAGCAACTCAAGAGCATCTCTCCACTCTTCACATCTGCAGCACCTCTCTGCAACCGCTGCCTCACTCCACTGTACTCCAATCCCACTGATGCCGTAGCGCTCACATAGTGGACTAACCTCTTGGCCGCTTCCAGCTGCTCATGACTAGGGCATGAAACCACGCTAGCCAGCCGTGATGTAGCAAATGCAATGTCAGGCCGTGTATGATTTGCAGCATAGTTTAGCGACCCAACCATCGAATGAAACAGCTTCCTGTCACTCTCACCCACTACCTCCTCATCAGCACATGGCTCTATAGTAAACCCCGAAGGTAGTGGTGTTGCTGGCTTTCCCCCATCTTGCAGCCCATACTTCTCAACCAGCCCCTCACAGTACTTCCTCTGGTGCAACCTCAGCACACCCTTTTCCACATCTCTCTCCACATGCATCCCCAGGTATTACTTCACCTCACCCATCTTGGAACTCTTGAACTGCATCTCCAGCATGTGCTCTATGCTGTCCAGCAAAGCAATTGATGCAGAAAAGAGAAGGATATCATCCACATACACCAAGAGCATGAGGATTTCATCCTTCTCCTGCAGCAGGAACAGGCTGGGGTCACACTCACTCTTCTTGAAACCCCGAGCCAACAGCGCCTCCTCCAACTTGTGATACCATGCACGAGGCGCCTGCTTAAGGCCATAGATGGCCTTCTTCAGTGTGCAGACCCTGCCGCTCCCATCATCCAGCCCCTCTGGCTGCTTCATGTACACCTCCTCCAGAATGATCCCATTCAGAAAGGCAGTCACAATGTCCATCTGCCGTATCTTCCATCCCAGGAGTGCAGCTATCACCAACAGCACCCTCAGTGTTGTTCCTTTCCCCACAGGAGCAAACACCTCATCATAGTCCTTCCCCTTTGTCTGCTAAAACCCCCATGCCACAAGCCTAGAATTCTAGCGGGTCAGCTCCCCTTCAGGTCCATACTTGTGCCTGTAGATCATCTTGGAAGTGATTGCCTTCGTCCCAGGAGGCAAGTCACACAGGTCCCATGTCTCGTTCTCAATCAAGGACCCGAACTCCTCATCCTCACTCGCCTTCCACTTCTCCCCATTTGGTCCATTCAAGGCCTCCTCTCGAGTCTTGGGCTCAGGGATTGGTGCCCAGTAGCAGTGAGCAATCTCATCTTCCTCAATCTGCTCAACCACACTCCCAGCCTGCACCATATTCGGCTTACCTCTTCCCCCATAGGTCAGCCTCACCGGAGGGCGCACATCCCTCCTAGATCGCTCAGGCGGGTGTGGAACTCGAGGTGGAGACTCATGCTACTGCTGCTACTGCTACTGCTCCACTTCAGCTGCTCCCCCTTCCTCAGTCACCCCAGACATCTCCTCCTCAGACACTGCAATCTCCACCTGTCTTGAAGGCCGCTGCACCTCATCTGCCTCCACAATGAGCGGTGTAGATGGAAGCTTCTGTTGCTGCTGCTTCCATTCCTTGTAGTACAGGGACTCAAGAAACTTCACATCCCTTGACACTGTCAGCTTCTGGGTGGTCAAGTCCCATAGCAACCACCCTTTGTGATCCTTTGCAATCCCCAAGTGCACACCCCACCTTCCAGAAGCCTCCAACTTCTTCCTTTTCTCCTTGGGCATATGAAACACCACCATACACCCAAACGCCCTCAGCATGTTCTCAACTGGAGCACTCCCATACCACTTAACATATGGGATCCACTCCTTATCCCCAACTGTAGCCAGCACCCTGTTCTTTACAAGGGTGACCTGCCTCATTGCAGACACCCAAAACGGATCAGGCAGCCCTGCACGCCCAAGGAGAGTGCGTGCCCCCTCCTGCAGGGTCCTGTTGAACCTCTCAGCCACGCCATTCTGCTGCGGGTTGTAGGGCACTGTCAGTTGATGCTGGATCTCCTTCCTCTTCAACCCCCCCTCAAAATCAGCTCCAATGAACTCCCCACCAGTATCACTGCGGATCACCTTCACCTTGTGTCCACATTCCCTCTGAGCTCTAGGCATCCACTCCTTAAGGACAGCCGCTGCCACCTCCCCCTTGCTCTTCAAAGGGTAAACCCACACTGCCCGAGTGTGGTCATCCACAATTGTCAAGAAATAGCGGCTGCCTGAGAGGGAAGGGGCTCTTGTGGGCTCCACCACATCCATGTGCACAAGTGCAAGTGGGGTCTTGGCTGGTCCTATAATGCTGTTGAAGGGGAACTTGGAGAACTTGGTCTTCAAGCATGTAGGGCAGCTCCCAATCTCCTTCACTCCCCCTTTCACCTCCAAGCCCTTCAAGCTCCCATCCTTCACCAACTTCTGCAGCATAGGGAAGTTCACATGACACAGCCTCTCATGCCATGTCTCCCAATCGGCCTCACCACTCCTTGATGAAGCCTTAGCCCATGCGGCACTCGCATCCACACCAGCAAGCACCTCATCATGTGTCTGCTACTGCTGCACTTTCTTGACTGCTTCTAGGACCCCATCAGTTGGTGTGGTTGCATCTCCTCCTGCTGTTGCCTTTGCCGCTACTGCCGTTGCTGCTGTTGGAGTCTTCCCATTCCAAGGGATGATGGGCAGCTGCCATAGGTCCTTGATGCAGCTGGTCTCCTCTTCCAGACTCCACAGCACCTTCTTCCCAAGCTTAGCACGGCAGCTGGTTGGTCCAAAGGTCACTTCGGCCTTACTCTTCTGCAGCCGTCGTACAGAGAGAAGGTTAGCAGACAGACCTTCAACCAGCAGAACATTCCCAAGCCCCACAAGTTCCCCATTAGCTCCCTTAACCTTGGCATTCCCAACACCAATCACTAGGAGCAAAGCACCTGACGCTGCTGCCATATACTTAATCTTCCCAGGGGGTTTTACCTCATCAAGCAAATCTGCCCGTGGGGTCATGTGACTGGTGCAACCTGAATCAATCACCCAGTGCGTGAGAGGGTGCATCACAACCTTTCCCACAGATCCCACATCACCCTCATGCCCATGCACATCCTCAACCATGAGAAACATCCCAGGATAGGTATTACCTTGTGCACCTGAGCCTTGCACAGCGCCACCTTGTGCGCGTTCACCACTGGGTGGCTTCATGCCTGGAGGTGCCCATCCCTCCGGCCTGCTGAAGCACTTGAACCAAGGATGCCCGACCTTCTTGCAGTACCAGAAGGTGCCCTCCATTCTGGTACTCCCCCTGCCACTAGAGCTCCCATGCCCCTCATTATAGTCACCTCGGCCTCTACCTCTGCCAAAGCTCCTCCCACGGCCTCGGCCTCTCCAACCCCCTCTTCCTCTGCCGCGCCCTGCAGCTCCATACCCCTCAGCAGTCTTAGTGGAAGCACCACCTCCCACATGGCGTCTGCGGAAGTCCTCCTGCAGAAACTGCTGCCTTAGCCACTCAGGTGTCCATTGATCTTGCTGAGAGTTGAGGGTGGGGATGAGGTTGTCCCAAGAGTTGTCCAATACCGAGATGATCTTGGTGCATTGCTGCAGCTGAGATACACTGTTGCCCGCTGCTGCCATCCTTGCATAGGTGTCATTGATCTTGTCAAGGACCGGCTTCACATTGTCCCCTGGTCGCATGGAGATGGCAGCAAGTTCCTTATCGAGCACGATCACCATCGGGAGAGTGTTGGGCTGAATCACATCGCGTAGTAGTTTCCACGCCCTTGGACCCGAATCATCCGCTTCCACAAGATCCTTGATGTCCTTGAACACCTCCTTGTTGACCGATTGAAGGATGAGGTCGAAAAGCACCGCGCTTTTCTCAATCCACCGTTCATATGCTTCCCCTTCTTCCGGCATCTTCTCCTCCCCAACAGCAATCTTCAGTAGCTTGTAGCGTTTGAAGGCACTCCTCATCCGCCCGCTCCATTCGTCATAGTTGGAGCCATCCAAAGCTTCAACTTTTGATGGCGGCGGCTCACTTGTCTTCTCAGGTACAACTCCTCTTCCATTAGCATCTCCTCCTCTCTCATTCATCTCCTCCTTGAGAAATGACGAATTTAAGCTCCCCTTTGCTGTCCACACTCAGCTCCTTCGATATTTTCACAAGTGTCGGCGTCCACGAAATTTCGGCAGAATTTCCCCTTAGCGGAAGACACATCCAACCTTTAGAACACCACTTAGGCACACCCACAGGCCATGGTGGGTCTAGAAGGATCTTCAAACTTCTGTAGACTCCTCTTAATGTCATTAATATCACTCTGATACCACTTGTTAGGATTAAGGACGGAGTCTAGGTGAACTTAGGAGCTAGAATTACTCAAAATATAAATCCGAAATTCATGACAGAAAAGTCGTCTTCACAAGAAACAATGTTGACAAAAACCTAGCTGTTTTAATGTTGCGAAATTTGGATATGTTGGATCTTGTAATCTTAGCTACGGTTCTCAATTTGAATCACGTCGATTGATGGAGTATTCGCGACGCTATGTCTTTTGACGCACTGGGGGGTAAGCTGTAGGAGGAGACCTTAACTCAATCTCAAAAGTTCAAACAAAGTTCAAGAATCTCACAAGGAATTAGAGGAGCAAGAGAAAGGTTGGGATAGAAGAGAGGGATGAGAGGGAATATCCTAAGAGAGTCCCCAACCAAGGAAACCCCATAATCACAAAGATTCCCCCCCTATGGGAACCCCAACTTTGACATTTGTCCCTTCCCAACCAATCCATCCAAGTTGGCCACCCTTGCCAACCTAGCTTGGTTGTTCCCAACCAATTTGCAGCTGTTACAGTAGAGTGACAAATGTCCCCAACCCCAAAGGTCCCAACTCCATATAGAGTCACCCCACAACTTCACTTTGTAACCGTCGCAATTGTAACGCAAGCTCATGAACTTTGAATCTTCATAGCTTTCGCGTTCTTGCTCCGATTGAAGGGATTCTCGTTGCGTCGGAAAGATCTTCTCAAGATCTATCATCACAAAATACCTGCTAAAAAAAAATAACACAAAACACATTCCCAAACTCCAGAACACACCACACACAAATTCTTGCACACGTTCAAACCACACATGCAAGTTGAAAACATGGGATGGGAGGCAGACAGAATGTGATAGCATATGATGACATCACACAACAGCTATGAGGGCAGAGGCACCCTCAGGAGGAGTGGCATGGTTAGTAACAGGTGAGGTAAGCAGGCGGGAGACGATTGGACAACCAGTGCGAGTAGAGTCAGAGAGAGGAGCAGGAGACAGCGGGAGCGACGACGGGGGAGGTAACGGCAGGACCGGGACTGAAGGAGCACAAGAACAAAGTACCACGGAGCACGGGTAGAGACAGGATGACCAGTAGGGGGAAGACGCACCTAGTGACGGGGTACTCGTCTTCAACTGTCCCGTCCCTTGTTGCCCATAGGAAACGAGCCAGAGACGAGTCTGGGGGAGGGAATAGCAGGTTGTAGACAGGGGCATGTGGGAGGGGAGGTGTTGTGGGAGGGTCAAGCGGGTGATCGGGGGAATCGGAGGAAAGTCCAAGGAAAGGGTAGACTATGGTTGCTGCTGTTGCTGCTGCTCCCATCCCACGCGAGAGCCCCCAAACCCACCACTGCCACCGCCAGTGTTCTCCCTGCCAGCACCTCCACGGCTAGCACCCCCGGAACCAGCATCCTCCGAACTAGCAACACCAGAACCAGCACCCCACGAGTCCACGTGCCCTTGCTGTTGCTGGTGGCACGGCTGCTGTCGTGGCTGCTGAGGTGCCTGGGGCACCGGGGCTGGGGGAAGGGGCGCCACAGCTGCGGCAGGCGCACCACAATCTACAGGCCCTCCTGAGTCAGCAGACTTTCCCACATGCCCATTCGAGGGGAGGGGAGTGGCGTGGGAACCGACACGATGGGGAGCAGCACTGGGTGAATGAAGAGCAGCATAAGAGGAGCAGAAGAATGGGGAAATGTTCGAGCATGGAACCCATCTGACTCCTTACGCATTGCAGCCTACATTGACAAACCAGTAGAAGTCAAGAAATCTGGGGAACCACTCGCCGTATTCTCCCTGACACAGCCATTCGTTATCGTGGCGATGCACTTCCTTGGGTTAAAAAAACGGAAGAGCCGGCTACACTTCGACCCTTCCAGCTCAGGGCCAGAAATTGGTTTTAGGCCACCCTCAGGGATCAGGGTACCCATGTTTTTTTGCCCTGGTAGGTAGGGTGGAAATTATCGTACCCTGCCAAATTCAGGGCGTTTTGGAAAAACCAAAGCAATACCTGATGCTGCCATGATAGTTTTTTTACCACCCTGACTATCTCTGTGCGAAGACAACACACATTCTTAAAACTACTCGTTTTTTCTAACGTGCTTTGGCTTTGACGGTTTGGCAAGGGCGCGCTGCAAAAAATTGCTGTGCCACGCAACAAGTCTTACCGGCTAACCCGGACCTTTATCAGGTTTCTGACGGCTCTTGGTATTTGCGATTAGGTTTGCGGATGTGGCACTAGCATCGCCAATTTGCGATATGTTGCGTTCTACAGTGTTTGTGGATGCTGCAGAGCAGTTTTTTAGAGAGACAGCAAACAGCGATAGCAGGAGGGATTAAGGTAGGGAACGGCACGAGAGTGACAAGGAGGAGGAGCAAAAGAGAGTGGGCAGGGAAGAATGTGTTGCGAAATGCCATCACTGCGAATTTCTGGGACACTGTCTGGGCTGCGTGGCTAATTCCATAGTTGCCTAACTTCAAGGGTTTGGAGTTCTTTGTTCCAAGGTACTTTTCGGTGCTCCCTGACCGGTCAAGGTACCCTGAGCACCCTTACTACAGCACGGTAAAATACTACTTACATTTTTTGAGTAAGGGTCACAAAAAAAATTGACCTTACAAAAATGGGGTTTTCATGAAAAAGTGGTCGTTGGCAAGGGTAATCAAGGCGAAACACCCTTGAATTATTGGCTCTGTTCCAGCTTCCGCAGACGCCAATCCCGTCCCTCCGATTCATATCATGCCTGCCTTTCTCATCAAATGGCCTGCACCTATGCTCAAGGAGACACACGACACCAACGTCAATATGGCATCAGCAACTCGGTTGCCCATCAGTCGAAGCGTTAAACTATTCGATCAAAGCAAATGTGTTCAAAAGATGGCACCAGTCCTATAGTAACGTCTCTCTTCATCCCACTCTTCGATCCATGTCACACCAGTGCCACCATCGACTCGGCCTATCAGTAGGAAGATGGCCTCCGTCTCCCGCATGTGGATGCAGCATCCTATGAAGCCAACTGCCACTTGCCAGCAGAAATTACGGACCATGACGCCATCGAAGAACAAAGCCATGCACACCCACGTGCTGCACAATCTGCATTTCAAATCCCCGACCTCGCTGATGCTGCCCAACCTTTGACGGCTGCGATCGAACCGAAAACAATTCAGCAAGGACCTCGCTGATGCTGCCCAACCTTTGACGGCTGCGATCGAACCGAAAACAATTCTGTGGGGTTGCTCGACGAAGATTTCGACGTCCACACGTGCGTACAGGAAGGTGTTGGCGACATCGATCTGGCGCAGTGGTAGCTTTTTCGTGGCCGCGGCGGCGAGCAGAATGTGCAGAGAGGTATATGGGGAGACTGGGGCGAATGTCTCCATGTAGTCGGTTCCGTATCGCTGATCGAATCCTCGTACGACCCAGCGAGCCTTGAAGCGTTCGATGGAGCCATCCGCATTAGTCTTGATGCGGTACACCCACTTCCCTGAGAGCACATTCTTCCCGTTGGTTTTTGTTGCAGGTACCAGCTTCCACGTGTTTCGATCTTGCAGGGCCTTCAGTTCATTTTCCATTGCTTCCTTCCATTTCGCCTTGTGTTCCCCCCCTAGACCCTGCGACAGAGTCATTGGCTCGCGCGACGACGGCGGCGGCGGGCTCTGGGCGGCGACCCATAGTCCAAGTATTTGCAGGCCCGTGGGTGTGTGTCGAGGGGAATTTTCATTCCCTGGATAAGCTGCTTCGTCACCATCTTCTGGGTCAGGTAAGAAATTGGGTGCGATGCGTTCAGAGATATTTGTGTCGACCGGTTGAGGTGTAGTGTAACCGTGGTCAGCGAAGTGGTAATAGGTGTCGACGTTGTTACTATCGAGAGGATTGTCGTCGTCGAGTGGAACGGGCACGGAGCAGTAAGGGAGTGGTTCGGCAGCTTCCGAGGCTTCAGGTACGTCTTCTTCTGCTGCGTCAGCTTTGGCAGCACGGTCGGCGAAGGACTGATGGCCCTCGAAGCCGTCGGTGGGGTCCGCTGTGTTGGCGACGTTGTCCAGGTAATGCTGCAGCGTCAATCGCTCGTAGAAAATCACATCACGTGAGGCCACGGTGTCTTTGTCTTGGATGTCAAGAAGTTTCCATCCTTGAAAATGTTTTGCGATGCCGAGGTGTAGTCCCCACCGTGCTCGTTGAGAGAATTTTCCTACTCGAGCTGTGTGAGGTATGTACTGTACCATGCAGCCGAAGACTCGAAGTAATTTTGTGCTGCCCTGTTTTCCTGTCCACAGCAGGTGCGGTGATGCGTTGTTGGGAAGTAATGTCGAGGACAGCAAATTGGACTGCATGCGTCATCGCGTTAGGCCAAAGCGTGTTAGGCAGTCTCATCCCCAGGAGCAGCTTCCGCATCGTTGTCTGCAAGGTTCTGTTCATCCTCTCTGTGACCCCCTGCTATTGGTGAGCGTAGGGCAGATACACCAGGCATCTGATGCCTCTTTCTGCCAGGTAGTTTCTGCCTCTTCTTGCTAAGTTTTGTACTTCCAAGACTATAGTGGCTGCTATACCTCCTGCCAGTCAAACCGCCATAGCGTCGTCAAATCTTCATGGAATTTCATGATTTAACTTGCTGTTGATAGTTGACAGCAACGCGCTCCAGATCCAACTTACAGATCACAGATTGATTCAGCGACCAGATCGTTATCAATATTTGAAGCCGTCTGATGGAAATCCGACTGTGCTCTCTATCTCTCATTATAGGCACATCTAAGCCTATTGTGATTATAACAGGGAGCCACGTCGTGAAGGCTTCAAACGCTTGATCACGTATCTTGAGGTTGTAGTGCCAGACGTATCATGTTGCTGCGTCGATGAACGTGATGACATAGTTGTACTCTGCTTCACTGTCGTCTCGAGGCATATTTATGATGCCGCTGTAAACTTTCTCCATCGGTGCGTATGCAGGTGCGCTTGGATTGTGGTGCGACGGGAAAGGTTGGTGGGGAAGATCAGCTTCAAGGCCCGTGAAGCATCGTGCGCGGGGTCGTCGAAGCTCCTGGCCGCTCGTTGTGAGGAGAGCGTCCTTTTCTAATACTCTGGCTTGTATGGTTTGTAGTACTGTGCTGTTTGCAGGGTGTCCGAGGCGTTGATGCCAGATGTCGTCGAGAGCGCAATGGCCGGGTGAGCGCTAGTACAGGTTGGTGTTGGAGAAGAATGCGACGACTGTAGCGGGACTGCTTCAAACTCCTCGGGTGATGGGCATGAGTTCATCTACTTCGGTTGGCGGTCCTCGGATTGCTGGTGATGGCACACGACTGGGTCCTGCTGCTGCTACTGCAGGTGATGTCGGGGGAGGGATACTTGCTGGTAATGCTAATGCTCATGTTCTTTCTGCTGCTGGTATGGTGTTGGAGAACCAGAATCCGTCTGAGGTAAAGTCGGGGTCAAGATCTGGCGGGTGCGTCCAGGCGGCGAACGACACGATGCCATCGCTGACGGCAGTACCGCGGTGGGGGACGAAATCCAGCACGAAGACGCCCGACTTCAGGAGAGCGCGACCGATGAAGAGGCCGCCCTTCCCGTGGTAAAGACGAAACTCATTGGCGTCCGAGTCGCATTCTAGGTGAATTCCCTTCGCCATTAACTAGCTGACACTTAGCAAGTTGTATCCCAGATTGTCGACGAGGAGAACCTTGTTGAGTTGTAGTATGACGTTTGTCTCCATTGACTGAAGCTGAACGACGGCTTGTCTATTTGTTTTCAGGTTCTCATTGTTGGCGATGGTGATGATGACATCGCGGTTGAGGCGTCGCTCTCGTTGCACGAAGCGCCCGGAAGAACACATGTGTTGGCCGCAGCAGCTGTCCAAGAACCAAGTGTTTTGCC